TTTAATTTTTACTTAATAGAACTAATTCACCACACCAAATAATATTCTCAATTTTTACCGTTATAATAACATTTAAGTGGTTACACAATGTGAATGTCTAATTAAAACTGGTTTCTACGATTTTGCATAACCATTAAACATCAAAAGTAAAGCTGATAGTGTCTAACTTCATTAGTTCAAGTATATGCATGTTAATAACATGAATACTTATATTAACACAACATTCTTTTTCTTACTAACAATATCAAATGAGTATATTTGCAGGGAATAAAGTATTATCAACAAAATGATTTCCTGATTGTATACCAGTGAATAAAGTATTGCCTCAACAACAAAATGATTTCCTGATTGTTTTTCAACACCATTCATACATAAAAAACAAGAATGTGTCCATAGTACACAGATGCCCCACTCGCACTATTATTTTCTACGTTCAGTGGACTGTGAAATTGGGGTCAAAACTCTAATTTGGCATTAAAATTAGAAAGATCATATCATAGGGAACATGTGTACTAAGTTTCAAGTTGATTGGACTTTAACTTCATCAAAATCTACCTTGACCAAAAACTTTAACCTGAAGCTGGACAGACGGACGGACGAATGCACAGACCGAAAAACATATTGCCCCTCTACTATCGTAGGTGGGGCATAAAAATCTAATACTGAACAGTTAAAAAAATACCAAGATTTAAACTTTGCCTTTGACTAGCAACTAGTACTTAGGATGTAGGTTATTTTGTAAAAACTAAAGCAGGTATCTGTGAGGTATAGGGTACAGGAGTCGGTTTCACAAAAAAACTTACGACTAAGATTGATCGTAAGTATACTGAATTGTTCATGACTTACGATCAATCTTAGTCGTAAGATTTTTTGTGAAACCTACTCCAGATTGTTATTATATCATTGAATATTGTATCATTGTCCCTTATTCCTGGTCTTGTAACAAATAGTTTTCAGAGATAACTGCATACTGACACTCAAGTTTACAATTGCCATGGACTGAAAACTAACCAGTTTGACCAGGATTAAGATCAATATGATCATATAGTTATAGTGAGTTACCAGAAATAGCCAAACTTTATTGAAAAAATAAAACTGAAAACTGGCAAAACTCACAAATTGAAATAATTATTGTACTCTGACACTGATTATAAATGGACAAAAAAAACCACTACAGCTTTGAACTGACAATTCGTGTGTCTGACAAATGCACAATTACTGGTTATTGTATTGTTAATATAAAAATATAACAGGAAAAGTAAAACAATGAGGCACATCAAAAGAAGCTATCCTCATTAAATCATCAATACCAGTACATACAAAGAGCAACATTGAAATCATGGTAAATTATCAAAATAAAAATTCGTAAGGGTTCCGCGGAACCCAGTGTCTCGCCTACTTTTGGTGTTAATCGCAGGCTCAACAAAAATGAAGAAAAAAATTAATAAAAATATTCCCCTCTATACTATGTTTTGATTGTAAGTAGCTTCTGTCCAAGTTTGGTAAAAATCCAGGATAAATTATGAATCTAATAAATGTTTTAAAAACTTAAACTGCAGAATGTATGTAATGTTGACTGGAAGAAAAACTAAGTCCATTTATAAGTAAAATACAGAAAAAATGGAACAAAATTTTATCAAAATTTCCTTCTAGATACTATCTTATGATCATAAACAAGCTTCTTTCCAAGTTTGGTATAAATCCAGGATAGTTTAAGAAAGTTATTGAAATTTCAAAAACTTTAACCACAGAGTGAATGTAATGTTTCCTGGCAGAAAAACTAAGTCCATTTATAAGTAAAATACGGAAAAATGGAATTTTTTTTTTACAAAATTTACTTCTGGATACTATCTTATGATCATAAACAAGCTTCTTTCCAAGTTTGGTAGAAATCTAGGATAGTTTAAGAAAGTTATTGAAATTTTAAAAACTTTAACCACAGAGTGAATGTAATGTTAACTGGCAGAAAAACTAAGTCCACTTATAAGTAAAATACGGAAAAAATGGAATTTTTTTTTTACAAAATTTACTTTTGAATATAATCTTATGATCATAAACAAGCTTCTGTCCAAGTTTGGTAGAAATCCAGGATAGTTTAAGAAAGTTATTAAAATTTCAAAAACTTTAACCACAGAGTGAATATTTGTGGACGCCGCCGCCGACGACGACGACGACGACGCCGACGGAATGTAGGATCGCTATGTCTCGCTTTTTCGACAAAAGTCGAAGGCTCGACAATAAAACCATTCAAAATCTCTTATAATTACTCTGACTGTCCCAATGGAGAAAAATGTTCCTTAGATAATAATAAAAAAAAAAAATACTATGAGTTTTATAACATGTTACCAACATCCATTCATGAATGTAATAATTTTCAACTGATTTATGGCATTTGTTTTCAGTAAAATAATGTTATGGCCATTTGTGTGCAAATTTATTTAAAATGAAATTGTAACTGGATATAATAAAATGCTTCGCTGGGCGCAGCTTGATACAACCGCAGTGGCTTAAATGAACACCTTTTCCAGAAAAATATTGTTCTTTCCAGCCTCTGTATATGTGGACAGGTTGAGAGCACCAAACACTATCTGCTAGAATGTCATAATTATAGTCTCATCAGGACACAAACCATTTCTACACTACCAAGATATAAAATACAAACATTATTATCAGGTAATGAACTCATCAGTGATGAGGAAAACGAAAATATTTTTAAAGTTGTACAAAGTTTTATTTTAGAAACAGGGAGATTTGGTTCATAAACAATTATTTTTGTGTCGATTTAGATGTTGAAAACTTTAATTTAATTTACCTTATTTTCAAACATTTACATATTTCACAGCTACATGTGAGACCACAATCATAAAAAAAGATGAGTTGATAACATTTTTCGATCAAACTGACTTCTGAGTAACGGGCAAACCACTGAATAAACATGTAATGTGAATTGAAATTTACATTATACGAGTTTCTTATACTATGTTCCTAATTTTGTCATTTTTTTTAAAGGGAGACGGATTTATATAAGTTATTCTTGTTTCCGAATCCCAGAATTTATATTGTATAATTGTATTTTGTGCACTTTTGAAAATAAAATATTGTTTAAACTAACCGCAGAGGTCGAACCCTGAACAGTTGGGGCAAGTATGGACACAGCATTCAAGCTTGATACAGCACTGAATTTGGATTGTGATTAAATATTTGACACAGCATAGGTTTCTGACACAGAATGAATGCGGTCTAAGAACTTAAAATTTATTAATTTACCTATTCAAACCATATCATTATTATTTGCTTTTATATATAAATCAAAAATAATCAATTTAAAATGGAAAATTTTACAGAAAAAAAAAATCCCTCCCCCATATTTTTTGAACGCCCTTATGATTCATCACCCCAAAGTCAATCCCAGCCTTCCCTATGTGGTATGGTACCTTGCAGTACAATTTCAGAGAGATCCATACACTTCAACACAAGTTATTGTCTGGAAACTATAAAAATGCTTGTTTTTAGGCCCCTTTTTGGCCCCAAATTCCTAAATGTTTAGGGCAATTACCCCCAAACTCAAACCCAGCTTTCCCTTTGTGATATGGAACCTTGCAGTACAATTTCAGAAAGATCCATACACTAACACAAGTTATTGTCCTGAAACTACCGGTAGAAAAATGCTTGTTTTTTGCCCCTTTTTGGCCCCTAATTCCTAAAATTTTGAGGCAATTACCCCCAAAATCAATCCCAGCCTTCCCTTTGTGGTATGGTACCTTGCAGTACAATTTCAGAGAGATCCATACACTTGAACACAAGTAATGGTCTGGAAACTAGAAAAATGCTTATTTTTGGCCCCTTATTTCTAAACGTTTTGGGCAATTTTCCCCCAAACTCAATTCCAGCTTTCCCTTTGTGATATGGAACCTTGTAGTACAATTTCAGAAAGATCCATACACTCACACACAAGTTATTATCATGAAACCAGAAAAATGCTTGTTTTTTGCCCCTTTTTTGGCCACTACTTCCTAAAATTTTGAGGCAATTACCCCCAAAATCAATCCCAGCATTCCCTATGTGATATGGAACCTTGTGGTACAATGTCAGAGAGATCCATACACTAACACACAAGTTATGTCTGGAAGTTACAAAAATGCTTATCTTTGGCCCCTTTTTGGCCCCTAATTCCTTAACTGTTGGTACCATAACCCCCAAAATCAATCCCAACCTTCCTTTTGTGGTATTGAACCGTATGGTAAAATTTCATAGAGATCCATTCACTTAAACTAAAGTTAGAGTGCTAAAACCAATGTGTCTTCGGATGACGACGACGCCAACGTCATACCAATATACGACCACAAATTTTTTTGCGGTCGTATAAAAAGATACTGTACTGTTAAAGGCATACTACAGTGGCTTTGAATTAAACTACTGATACTCATATATATATAATTGCCTAAAAAAATTATTATACTACTGATAGTCATATAAAATTGCTTAAAAAATGTTTTACAACTGATAGTCATCTACATTGCTTAAAAAAATATCATTCTACTCATAGTCATTTAGAATTGCTTAAAAAAAATAATAAAATTTGGGGCCAAATATTGACCTTTACTCCATTCTTCTTTGAAAAACAAAAATTGGTCCCTTCCTATTAAAACAAACCATTTAACTCTGCTAGTGCAATATGCATGCAATTTGATTCCACTTTGAACACATAATATTTGATGTATTAGAAAACAAGGTAAAACAACTGTGTAACAATTAGCACAGTAAAATATATGTTAGGGATCATATCAGTTTAAGATTAAGATGTTGATTTAGATTGAAATAGAACTGACAATAGGGATCACGAGAAGTTGCATATAATTTTTTAAAAAACTTTAATATCTCTATAGACTTAGCCTTAAATTTTAAATTAAAATATTTTATGTTTTCACTCAGCTATTAAATTGCGAACATATCCCCAGGATTCACCCTATTAGGTGATAGGGCAGACACACTTCATATGGGAAAAAAACATGGAAAGGTCTTGAAAATGGTTCAAGTATACTGAATCACATTCCCCATTTCCATTCTCAATTTTATGTCTTACTTTGTCATGTGTATCTACTAAAAAATGGAATGATTGTCAATTTAAAATGCAATAATTTGTACATTTTTCCCTGTGATTGCCAATGTATCATAACAAAATATTCATTAACAATAAATTAAATATAAATATTCATGTTTCCTAAGTGGGTCCATCATCATACACATGGGTGTGCCACCCTATACTTGAGGATTTCCTGTCCTGCATAATGCCAGAATACAAATGCACAAACAACAATTATATGCCACAATTGATGGCTTGATCCTATAAAGTCGAATACTCCTGAAAAAAATAAATAATGCATAGTTAAAAAGATATGCGTACTTGTCAAATTTCATTTAAGTGAAAATTATTCATTTTCTTACAGTAAAAATATTTTGACTTCAGTATTGAAGTAGCAACATCCTGATTTATTGTTAGTTGGATCTCCAGAAGGTTTTTTAGTTTGTGTGTGTGTGAAAAAATATCTTTACTTTTACTTTTATTAAGATGTATATAGTTGTAAGTTCTCTCACGTCTGAACAGTACAGAACCCCTTTACAGTTTTAAGGGGTCTTACATGTATACACTGTATTGCTATTTTTTCCGCCATCTCAGGACATCACAAAGGTTTCCTTAAAATTTTGACGTCACAAAAGAAAATGTCGGAGGCCACAAAAGAAAGATTAATGTATGACGTCAATAGTTCAAGTGTCACATATCACTAAGATCTATTGATTCTCGAGTGATAACCTTTTCTCTCAAAAATATCTGATGTTAACAGTTAAATGTTCTTTATCAGTATGTATTAAATATCAAAGAAAAGCATACAAATTAATTAAAAAACCAAATTATTTATCTATTGTTTAACCTCATAACTGCATTCTTATATTCGATTCAATCATCATTCCAGATGGTTTATTAAGATATCATGTGTATGCAAGAATACAATATATATTTGTTCTCAGAATTAAAAACTTACCAGGATAAAATCTTTCAGGAAATTTACTAAGATACAATACTAAAGCTATCATTCCAAGGATATATATAGTTGTAACCTTTGGCACAAATAACTGCAAATAGAAGCAAATAAATATAAATCATAAACAGTTCTACATAGAAACAAAAGTCACTTTATTCAAGTTATAACATGAGTAAAAAGAGACAAGTGAGATCTAACCCAATTAGATAAAAAAAAAAATACATGAAAGACATTTAAATGTCAACATGTCGTATACAACAATTGACAAGTGTTTACAAGATTCTTTTTAGATTCATGTCAATGTCCACATTTCCTCAAGTTTTGCCACTTTAACACTGAAAGAAAGAACTGAAGCTTAGCTATAGCATCAAGTCATGCATCCATTTCTTGGTTGATTCATCAGAAAAACTGCAAAGGCCACTAGGATACAAACAAAGGCATATGTGTATTTACAGTGAGTTATCATGAAAACAACTTTTAAATTACTTTCTGTTTTCAGTTTGTGATAAAATTGAGAATGGAAACGGGAAATGTGTCAAAGAGACAACAACCAGACCAAAGAACAGAAAACAGCCCAAGGCCACCAATGGGTCTTCAACACAGCAGAAAAATCCCACACCCTGAAGCAGGCTTAAGCTGGTACCTAAACAAAAATGTATACTAGTTCAGGGAAAATGGATGTCACCCACAACTCCGAAACATATAAATGAACCAAAATTAAAAAAACATACAAGACTAACAAAGGAGTACATAAGTTCAACATTTAATCTAAAAACATGATATTCTTAATTAAAACATGTACACTTATATCATTGTAATCTACATATCTAATAAGAACAAATCAATGTAAGATGCTGAACTAATATTAAGTCTTAACTATTGGATATATATCAAATCCTGTCTTTACCTGTACAATTTCTGCTGATGCACCATTTAACCAAATCCAGTGAATGGTAGGTATAATTCCATATCCTGCTAGTCCTATATAGATAGCAATTCTCCACTTGGACCATCGGTGACTAAAGTAATGTGGATGTAATTGTATAACCATCGTTGTTACTGTTAGTATTGTAATTGTTATTAAATAAATATCCCTCCATATCTGTAAGAAAGTTTGAAATGATTTTTGAAATTGTCATTGAAACATAACTATAACTTATATAAGCCACTTAAACTGGACAGGAATATATTTTTTTCCATAAACCTACTGATCAAACTGTTGTCTTTTACATTGTAGAAATGTCTATATTTTTTTACATGTAATTTTTTATTTATGATTATAACCCTAGTATATAGCAAGGCCAACATTAATTGTTATTTGTTTGAAGACATGAAAACTTTTATCAAATTTAATCATATTTTTTTATGAAAAACTGCAAGGAGTGTTCACTTGCTTCTTTGCATTTATATCATCTGTATATAGTAATTATATCTGAGATAAACACACATAGTCACACAGTATGTTAATATGCCTGTTTAGAATCAAGAACCTCATCAGAAGTTAATGTTTTTTAAGGTTTTTGTCCCTTCAATCATTTGGTGTTGAAAGTAGATTTTTTTTATAGTTTCTGTTAAAATCATGTACTCAATTTGTCCAGACTGACTAAGACTCAAAAAGGATTTGTGTGATTGTGTTGTGGAGTTGAAACTCATTAATGAGCACCCTGTTTGACAGTGTGTTAATCTTATATATATGTAGTTTTATCTACTATAGAGTTATTGCAAAGGATATCAATAAAAAACCTTTTAAACTATGAAATATACTATTACAAAACTCAATGGTCAAAGAATAATAAACTGTACATTTTAAAAACTCTGCAAATAAATACATACAATATAATAAAACATGGCAAAAAAGATGAAAAATACATCTTATCCAAATTACTCACTGATAAACAATAAAAAGCATAATGTACTGCTGGTAGGTAGCAACCAATGACTCCTATAGATATTCCTGCTAAATCTACTGCTAACCATCGCTTACTAGCCTTCGCTGAGTGACAGGCAAACATGTGAAACCCTGCAGAACATAACATACAAAACTGCAAAAAAAAAAAGAAAACAGTGGATTAAAATTTCTTATTAGATAATACATAAAAAGGATAGCACTATTCTAACATTAGTTACAAAAACATATTGATCAATACAAGAGACCATTTGTTCCAACAATACCTAGGCAACAACTCAGAAAGATAGGTAAAAAACAAACGCAAACAATGAAAAACACATGGTACAGATAACCTGACTTGGTCTAGTCCTAAAATATGGTAGGGTTATACCAGCTGGCAGTGTCCCCCCCCCCCCCCCTGGGCTTTATAGCATCATGAAATGTGAAGCTATACTGCTTAAATGTGATGCTATGGTTTCTTAAAAAAGATGCTATTACAAAATTTACTTTACCAGGGTGTTGTATGAAATTTGAGTGAGGAAAGAAGTTCCTCCCATGAATGAATCTGACCACAAGGAAAATCGTGCAATTAACAGAGATAGTGACATTAAATCAAATAAAACCAAACAATATAAACTTCAAACATATAAACTTGCTTTTTATTTTGTTTAATGCTATGAATATTTGATATTTAAAACAATATTTTTGTAAATTTTTCCATATGTAGCCACCAAATCATCATGATCATTATAACTATTGAAAATAAGAAACAGTCTTAAATCAAACATGATTTTTGACCCAGATTTTTATTTAGCAGATAAGAATACCGGGTAGTTATAATAATTCTTTTTCAAAATTCTTCAAGTTCATGTCCAAAGGCAGAAAGTATGCAATAAAGAAAAATAACTATTTAGGGAGGAAATTTGTATATGACATTATAGTTCTTAGCTATAGGAGGATATAAATCTGCTTACCTGATAACATATAAGTCCTAATGACACCATAACATGGTCTGTGTAAGATCCACTAAATCTTGGTATATAGATTATGTTGTCATGTAACAATAAGTACAGAAATATGAAAAATCCACCTAAATGTGACCAAACATTTACTGTCTCATTATTCCATCTAAAAATGCTGCAATAAAACAAAATATACTTTTTACTATATATCAATTTGACATTTACATTTTTTTCATGTTTTTAGACACTAGTTACCTCATTGACACTTTAAAAACAGAAATACTTTCCTCGTGGGAGATGTAATAATTCATCATTGGGAATTCATACATTTGTAATTTACCTTGCAGAAACAATCACAAAAGAAATACACTGGTTTATTGATTGCTGTTTAACTTCTAGTAGCATATATAACAGATGATTAAGGCTGATAAAATGTGCAATATGAATATATAAATACCATACTTTGTACTAGACTCGTGCATGATACATTTTTTGTACCTCTAAGTCATATTTTCAAAATGCAAGCTCACAAAGTAACAGACAGTGGGAAGTCATGCCATCTTACCTGATCCATTATTCTAAGTCAATTATGTATTTTTACTCCTAAAGTAGGGATTTCATTAACCATTTGGCCTCGCCATAGACATGCATGTATCTTGTCAGCAAACCTCGATAGGAACATATTTCTCTTGACAATGAAAGTTTTTCAAACAAACTCAAGAATAATAAAAAATTTACTTCTTAAATAATTATTAAAACATATTTTCTAGGATCATTTTAATCATACAAACATTGATATAACGCAATGACATAATGACAGATATGATGACAGAAAATGCAGTATAAACAGGTTGTCTGAATTTCTATGCACAATGTAAAGATTAATACCGCAAATGACACCTGTGAATTTTTATGTCTAAATATTTTGGTTATATAACCTTAATTATGATCCTGTAGATCTTTTAAAAACTTATTGAAATCCCTGAAAATAATAAGAGTTTGGCAGAAAAGCTGAAATTACAAACTTTTAATTGTGTCCTTTGGTCTCTGGTGTATAATAGACTCATTGGCAATAATAACACATATCCTTATTCAAATATTTAAAGTGTTTAGTTTGATCCAACCAAAGACTGAACTTATGACATCTTACATTTAAGGTGAGCATGTTACTCAGAGACAACCAATGCAAGTCTCCTGAAATTCTGATTTCACCAGATGTGCCTGTTCAAAACAAAAGCTTTAGCAGTTGTTCATATGGTTTGGCTGTGACAATCTTAGTACTCGGATTGCAGAATCTATTAAACATGCGCAACAATCCGGTGTCAAGAATGACACCTACAGATAGCAAAATATTCCAACAGACATCAAACAATTTCGACAGTAATTACATTGGTTTCATGTCGATCCGGCCCCACGTCGATCCGGCCCAAGTCGATCCGTCCCACGTCGATCCGGCCCAACGTCGATCCGGCCCATATTTAAAGTCGATCCGGCCCCAATAAAAAAATATATTTATAAGGAATAAAAATAAAGATATATATTAATTGTAATTCATAATTATGTTTATGAATTTTATTATAATGTAAAAGGTGTACGGTAAAAAAAAATGGCCTTTGACAAATATTTTCTTTAGATGAGTATTAAACAAGTAGGTTGATTATGTTTTCATTACAAGTTTTCAAGATTATTGGGTATAATTATAATAAAAACGTATATAACAGAATTTAGTACAATCAACAGACATCAACATTAATCAGCAGTAATTAGCATTTTCTTTCAATTGACTGTGATCTTAACAAGTCTTTCATCCTGTGTAATAACAAATAGTTACATACACAACGGTACAAGCCGATCCCCAAGCTGATACATACAAACTTTGTTTTTGTTTTAAGTTCTTAAAACTTCTCAAATTGAGAAATGTTGTTTGATTTGCCGAATCCCTTCTATAAAATAGGAGACAGAATGCGTTTGCTTTTAATATCACAATGATGTGGAAGGTATTTAATTTTTTATATATTATTTACAAAAAAGTAGAGTTGGTATTTTTGCCGATGAGACAAATATTCAACCGAATTAAATGAAGAGCATGGAAGTAAGCAATTATTGAACTTCTTACAGTCTGATAAATACTACAATTAAATAAATGATATGAAACTGTTATTAAATATTGTCATCTGCTATATTGATTCTTTTCTGTAATATGTACTCAACATTTGCTTTTAATTTTTAACAGGTTGGCATCGTAGGTTCAACGGGAAAGCAAATGGAAACAAGCTCCACTTCTACAAGATGGTTCCAGCGCTCATCAAGGAAGCCAAGACTGTTTCTAGACAAGTGCGTCTGGTAGATGAACAGAGTCTTGCCCGTTGGCAACGCACCAAGTATCAACAGTCACAGGGACGCCTGTCTTCACTATGGGAGCAACTTCAAGATGGTACCATCACCACCTCCTTCTTCCTTCGTGCCGTCGGACACATGTACGACATTCCTGTGTCAGACCCAGAACCAGAAGAAGACACTGACAACGACTGATTTAATTAACACTGAGTGAACTGTATGGCTTGTATTATGTTAGTTCAAATGTGGCTACAATCTATATGTTTATATAACATTTATTTATTGAATGCTTAACGAGTATTCTTTATGTTTAGAATAATATAGTGCGTTTGTTCTTGGTGAGCTAATCAAATTGAACCATTATAGTGCTGTACTGCGTATGATAGTAACTGTATATGTTATTGTAGTGGTACAAGTGTGACCCCTTTTATATTATGTAAGCGACAGTGTAACTGTTAGTGTAAATGATTTAAAAGTTATATATATTTATGTGAGTGTCAGAGATAGTGTGTTTGTTAGTGTGTATGAATTTATTGTTATATTATAGTAGTGCTGATATTATATTTTAGAGAGTGAAAATGTGCATTCAGTGTAATTATTTTGTTATTATCTTGCAATAAAGAATAATGGATACTCATATAACTTGTTTTTTTTTATCTACACAGAACTATTCAAAATATTGTCAACTTTAAAAAAATATATTAACTATATTCGATATTACAAAAAAACAACATGTGTTATAGAAGCCTCTGATGTTACCTGAAAAAAAATACAATTAATTATTATAACACATAACACCAAAAAAAAGATCAAACTATAAAGACCTTGCTGATTACGTAACTTTAATCAACCAGGATTTGATTGAATTAAGTGATTACGAGTGGCATTACCTTAGTTCACAATCATCAGACAATTGTTGAATAAACAAACCAATTATTGATTAATGATTTGATTAAACAAGTCATTATATGATGAGTTAAATTTTATAGGTCCCATTGGACTGTAAATATTTATTTAGCTATTCTGTGTGTGAATTAAATAAAATAAAAATCGCCATGACATTCAAAGTTATCATGGAAAATAACTTCATATTAATACATGTATGTTGAAGCTGCTATACAAACAGACACAATCACACTCAGTTTCGTATCGATTTAAAATAATTCTTTGACTGGTACACCAATACTTCACTTACCTGTTGTCATCCATCATCGATACTTTTTGCAAAATCAATTTATACTGTTAAAAATCCTCCAAAGTCAATATAGTTTATTCATATTTTATTAAGGGGCCGGATCGACTTTGGGCCGGATCGACTTGGGACGGATCGACTTTGGGCCGGATCGACTTGGGGCCGGATCGGTTTGGGGACGGAACGACCGGATACCATTACATTTAAGTACTGTTGGAATTCATTTTTTTTTCTGTCATGTGGTTTTGATGTTTATCAATGAGTAATCAGTTCAAATTGTTATTATCAATGAGCAATCAGTTCAAATTGTTCCTAAAAACATCCCAAATTGGACCAGTAAACTTATTGACATCCCTGAAAATAATAAGAGTTTGGCAGAAAAGCTGAAATTACAAACTTTTAATTGTGTCCTTTGGTCTCTGGTGTATAGTAGACTCATTGGCAATAATAACACATATCCTTATTCAAATATTTAAAGTGTTTTTAAGCAAGACCTGGGATCAGTATATCAATATATATGTTCCTGGCGAGACTTACATTACAAGAGAGACAATCCAGTGTCAACAGCGACACCTACAGAATACAGTAATTTATTTTATTAACAAACAATTTTTTTTATTTTCCAATCACAGTGCCCAGAAAATGCCACAATGAGCAGAATAATTAAAATCATAATTTTGATTTGATTGATATTCAATGTTAAAGTAAATAAAATATGTAATCTAAAAAAAGTCTGACCTTTTCAAACATAAATTAAATGGTAGAGAAACCCTGTATCCGCTGACAACATAAGGATTCCCCTGTAAAAAGTCTGGTATTTCACTGTATTTATACAAAGGTATTTCTCTCTCTGTTGCATCACAGAGCCCAGAGCTGCAAGCTTCATGAAAATCTGTGTCGATTTCGACATCCAAAACTGAATACGAATTGGAGGTGTGTATTGTTTGTCTGTTTTTTATGTTTTCAAAGTTTCCAAGTCGTCCCATCATTACTGGTTTGAACTCTATAATGCAAGGAAAATTAAATAAATGTCGCTTTTCGAAGCAGACACCTGCATTTACAGGAACAGACTCACAGATCTCCAAAAATAAAACAAACCAGACTATTTCCGTTACTATGCACTATTTACGTCTCCCAAATTAAAGACTTTTTTGGGTAGTCTAATAACCAAAAATAACAAAAATATACCGAAATGAACAATAACGTACCGAAATGGACAAAACTATACCAACACAATGGAATACGTTTGTACAGAATTATACCGACATGGATTTGGCTGTAACAGTCTGAGAACTCTGATTGCATAACTGTACACTTACACAAAATAAGAATGTACATTAACAGACAAGCTATTCATTTCTAAATTTACTGAAACTTGATAAGACGGACATTCTTAAAGTACACGACATTCATCTTCTACAGTATCACAAGGACGTATATATATATATAGTTGTTTGTGCTGTATTTAGACCCCTCTACCAAGAAATTTGTTTTGCATGCACACGTAAAAAAATTGCGGTTTTTATCCAACGCAATCATAGGTTTGAACGTTGTTTTCAATTTAGACTTGTATATATATGGTTATATACACACTCGCTCTTCTTTATTTAGATTTTAAAACCTCTCAGTATAGGCCCATTTAATTTTTTTTTGAATCACGTAATCAGAATCTTATAACTCGGTGACCTTCCACTAGGTGGGAAACGGCAAACAATGATAACACAGACCGGACGTGGCAGGGTATTTATCCATCCCTCATCCCTAACATCAAAAAGGACACTAAGTACAGATCTGAGTGTACTCGCAGTTACTGACAGCTAGTTCAAAACCAACAACAACTAATTAAAAAATCATGTATCTAAGACTAAAATATCAATCAGTACACATCCAACATCCAATGGATTTAGTGTAAAGACGTCATTAACAGTCCGAGAAAAACATGACCTTGTGCAATGTCAAAATTAATGAATCGACAGATTGTACTGAGTAGCGTTAAAGTGCATAATATGTGTATAACAAAACTATTCAGTATGATTTTAATTCACTGATAACAAAATCAATATTTATACCAATACAAACAATATTCAAAGATCTAATTACAGTGTATAATTGGTAACCTTTTAGAATAAGTTTATTTAGGATTGATAAGCTTACCCAGATCGTATACAAATTTCCGGGATCGGTTAACAGCATCACCGTAAAAGGAGTAGGTCCGGTAAGGGCCGATTTTGGCCTCAAAATTCAGGTTCATCTGATGAAAGATTATGGACACTTTTTAAACACTTAAGTGTCTACTTCAGTCGATTCAATTAGTTTATGTGAAAGATTTGAACTGATTTAGTCATTAAAGACGCTCAAATTCAAGCTTAAATATGAAAAATCTATCAAATATGCCATAATATGTCACTTTTCAGATGGTTTTTGTCAAAAATGAAAGTGGCCGCATCCGTGTTCATTCTCAACCTTTATATATGTCATGTATTATCATCAAATACAACTTACATTTAAATATTAAGAATGAACACAAATACGGCCACTTCCATTTCAGACAGAAACCGTCTAAAAATTAACCAAAATGCTAAAATTTCGAAGATTTCAGTAATTTAGCATGACTTAATGATGCTAGTACCCGATACATGTGCATTGTATTGTCAAAAACAGCCCATATTTATGTAACAGAAGTATTCTTCTTTCCAATAAATAGCTAAAAATTTACATTTTAACAATTTTGTAAAACTGCTATATTTTGGGGCCAAAAAGAGGTCTTACTGGGCCTACTCCTTTAGGATGTGCTATTCCGTCTAAAAAAATGTTTTTTACATGTAGAGCCAAACTTGCAAACCAAATATTTGTATCTACTGGAAGAATTTAGTAAAGGTTTTAAGCAATTTGTGGTAACGAAATTCCTGACTTAATAATTTAACAGTAATACATAGATTACGCTCATTGAAATCCAAAACGTCACTACAGACACGGGCACAACGAACGAGTTGGGATATATAAACACCGTAAGCTGGTGCCAGAGGAACATCACCGTTTAAAAAAGGAAAATTAACAATAGGGAGAGAAAATATCATCCCTTTTGTCGTAAATTTTAGTGTAGAGTTTCTGGTGTAAAACTGAAATGTATAAATCTAGGAAAGGACACTTATTGCTGTTAATGTTTGATTTATTTAAGGTAAGTTCCTATGGGTAAATTTCGGCAGTATATTTAGAGAATTTTTGCATGACTATTTAACGAAAAAATGTCAGAAAGATAACTTTAGGTGTTGTTGAATTTAGAAATTAAATGAAATTTAGACGGATCTTTACTGAGTTTGGCTATAAACTGTGATTCATAACAGAACATGAACAAGTCTGCTATAAGAGGGGCACAATTGGTGCCCATAGGAACACCTACAATCTGTCGATAAACTTTATTGCTGAAAAGTACATAAATATTGTCAAGGAGAAAATGTATGGCTTTAATCACCTCATCACAGCTCCAGTAAATATGTCCAGCACATTTACCTTTCTCGTTTGAGAAAAAGGCTTTATATGAGTTGCAGGAAATAAATTTGCAATCAGATTATTCGAAAGACCATTTAATTACTTTAGTTTGAAGATTGTGTGGAAGTATAGTGTAAAGAGTGGAAATAGTCATATTGGACACCACCTAGAATTTTGTACTTTCAAATTGATATCACTGTATCGAGAGCCCTTTTCGCTTCCTGTTAGTCTAACAAATTATAATCTAAACAAAAACTTAAGTCTACTCAGTTTTAATAAATAAAGTGTGATCGCTACATTCATACACATAAGACATACGTTCTACCAAATTGGCCTTAAAATGGACAACGTTGCTCTTATCAAGGTAAATGACCATGCCATTCTTAGAACATTAATTTCCTTGCGCATCTCATATAACTTTCAACTTTCACTGCCAACAAACAACAACGTCAGCGAACGATAAAAATCAAATGTATTCGCCTTCATTACCAATAAAATTGAGAATGGAAATGGGGAATGTGTCAAAGAGACAACAACCCGACCACAGAACAGACAACAGCAGAAGGCCACCAACAGGTCTTCAATGCAGCGAGAAATTCCCGCACCCGGAGGCGTCCTTCAGCTGGCCCCTAAACAAATATATATACTAGTTCAGTGATAATGAACGCCATACTAAACTCCAAATTGTACACAAGAAACTAAAATTAAAAATAATACAAGACTAACAAAGGCTAGAGGCTCCTGACTTGGGACAGGCGCAAAAATACCTACATTAAAAACGATGTATATCCGTTTGAAATATTAAATTAGAACCATGCAGTTATATGTTAATCAAGCTCTGTCTTTACCTGTTAATAGATTACATCAAATTTTGGAGGATTGCAACACAATTCCATATTGCAGTCCAAATTATAATTGCATATTGTTATTCTATAAACTGTTTCCAAAAATTGATCGCCCTGAAGATCATAAAAAAAAACACATTTCATTAAAAATCAAATATGTCAATAAAGGTTTCGTTTTTGTAAATATTGCAGGTATTCTTAATGGTCATTCTGTAAAGGAACAAATTCCTGGTTATTTTGATAATACTGAGCTTCCTCTTATTTGTTAAGTTTACAAAAAATCTACCCGGAAATATGTGTTTAAATATAGCGAGGTGTGTAAAGCTGTTAATATCAGTGCCAATACACCTACGTCAAGAAATTGCAGTAATTCCAAATACATTTATGGCCCCAGTTCCCATGTTTTAAAAGGAGAACTTAACATTGTCCAGGGCCAAGATTTGAAATCAGTCCTTAGTCTTGTATGTTTTTTTAATTTTGGTTCATCTATATGTTTCGGAGTTTTTTAGTTTAAACAGTATTTTATTCAAATAAATTGAATTGGATTGGGCAACAGGCAAAGCCTATGTAAGCCCTCTCCATAAAACAAAGGTACAATATATTACATTGAAACAAAACAACACATACACAAACATAATGACAACACAGAATTATTTTTTCAAAACTACCTCAGCTGACTTGAAGGATGCTTCAAATAGTTAACTCAGACAAAAATATTAATATTATAAGAATGCTTCAAATAGTTAATTCAGATTTTTTTTAATTAATATTCTAAGTAATAAACTCCAATATTGATTTAGAGGCCTTACATTAAATTAAACTGTCTCCAGTCAGCTGTTCAATATTATTATTATAATAACTCATTTTTTCAAAATAACATGTTTGATATCATGTACTTATTTTTACTAATTTATCGCACCTGAAGAATGACGACGGTGAGTAAATAACCGTATTGATACATTAAAGAATCATAATTAATATAAAAAAGAATTTAGAATGTAAATAAAAAAATTTAAACAAAAATCAGAATATAAAAAAAAAAATATACAAAAGATGGTTTGAATGATATAGAAAATAGAGGTGCATTTATGGTTTTGTAGCTTTTATAATATTAATTATTGTCATTAATTTTTTAATTTTTGTTTCAATTTTAACTATTTTTCAGCCGGTTGTGGTCTAATAACTTGAATATAAAATAAATTACAGACATACAAAGTAACAAGTTTTTTTAGATTCGGACTATAAAATATATTTCACTATACAAATCTTTCTGAATTTTTAATGTATTCATGAACAGCCTTAACTATCTGAATATTGTCTTCAATACTCATAGATTGATCACCAAATAGTAATAACTTCAAATCAATATCAACTTCATAAGCAGTCAATTTATCAAGAAGTATGGTGTCCTGTTTAAAGTGTATGATGGACGATCAAAAAAGTAATGTTGATTGTCTTTACATTGATTTAAACATGTAGGACAGGAAGGTTCTTCAATCAAAAAAGCATGGAACAAGTGAGAATTTAAATTACTTGCTTCATTTCGCAATTGACAGTGAATAATATTGAATTTTTTTATACCAGAACAAAAATATTTAGGATGAATCTCTCGTTTATATATTTTATCAAGTAAAGATTTGAACTGGTTAATCGACAAAGCATTTTTTGCATATGGATCTAATTCATTCCAGAGTTGGTATGAAACTTCTATAATATGAAACTGTCCTGCACCTTGGAAGGGTATAATTTTGAGGATTTCTTCTACAATTGTAATCATTTTGTGTGGGAAG